TTAATAATTGGAGCACAGTGTTGAGGAAAAAAAACGGAGCAGCAAAAGAAAAAATCTTAATGAAAGCAGAATAACGACAAACAACATGCAAAAATAGGGGGAAAATTGAAAATTCTATAGGAAAGCACTAAAAGAAAAGGGGATTTTGATTCCTTTAACCTGAGAGCACAGCTGTGAGACTCATCATAACCCCTGACATCATTCTCATCTAAGAAATCAAAGTATAAAACATAATAGCCATTAAATTACAAATCAATAAACTACTCTGATAGGGGTTAATGGCGTTGGTGGTGGATGAAAGGCTCTGGGGGAATGAATGATGGGGCTTGCTTTATCCTTCCCCATTTTGTACAGCAGGCAGCTTCTAAACAAAGGTGTCGCCAAAATGGCTCGAACACAATGAAACAATTTGGGTTCAATCAATACTCTGCAGGTATGAGGAAAAAAGAAGGGTATCCTCACTGTAACCTAATTTCCCCGAAAAACGTTTTTCACAAGACATCAAAACAACCTGTAAACACACTGATAATTGGAGTACTTTCCTGATATACAGTGACACTACTTTATACAACTCTCACTTATGTGCTTCAGTTTATAGTTTTTGCTTGTTATGTCTACATTTATTTATACATTTAGAATTAAAAAAATACCTCTATGGTGTAATTTGTATGCAATTTTAGGTTGCAAAACTCTTCAAGTTGTGTAAAGGCCTATATTTTCATAAATGACTTCTGTGTCCTCAGTCAGAGCTACTACCACATTCTTGGTTATGAAGTTCATAGTGATCATGAGCAATGAAAAATATTAATATCAAATGCTTTCTTAAATGTATTCTCTGGAATTAGTCTGTTTCCATACTGGTGCTGCTACAACACACACCGAAGGTGTTTCATTTATGCCACGTTACCGCCGAAATTATGCACTTGAGCTCTTTTGTAATGCCACATTTGACATTTTTGCTCCCATGTATCATCAGTCAATTGAAAGCACCACCTTCTTAAATACAACAACATTAACTCCTTTATCACGTCTTCCATCTTCATCTTCTTCGCTACCCTCAAGCTCTGTTATCATTTTTCAGGTCACTCCCTGTGTCAAAACATTAACTTAGCAGAAATGCCAGTAAATAATTAAACAAAATCGATTCCATTATGAATAAGTAAAATGAGAGGAGAAGAAAGGTTAATGAAAAATGCTCAAATTAGTTGAAGAAAGATTTTTGAAGAGATATTGAAGAGAAGAACTGGCTGGTTGGAATGATGAATGAAGTTAATCATGATGAAAGAAAGAGCTTTAAGTGGACAGATGGATAAAAGAGGTGCTTAAGGAGCAGATGAATGGCAGCGACAATGAATGATGGCATGGCCTCCTGGAGAAGAAGGGAGAAGTTTCCACTGAAAACAGCGATGACGATGACTGAGGAGACAGTGGGACGATGATAGTGATGAATGTACTCCATTGCACAGTTTTTCTAGGTCAATACTGCCCCATTTCTACAGTAGACATGGAAAAGAAAAAAAAAACTGCAACACTGCACATTAGCATAACAGCTGGGATGCAGAAAGTGGAGAATTAGTCCCAAAGATTGAGGCTGAAGCTGGGAATAAGCCCTGAGAGGCTGGAGTAATGGGAATTTTTTTCCCCTTCAGTTTCCCTGTATTTACTTTCATTGTAGTCTTGCTCGTATTCGGTTTCACATCTTGTAAGACTTACCGGCAGCCTCCCTGAGAAGAAATCATGTCAGGTGAGAGGTGAAGGCTGAACGGATTAAAAAGGCCGTAGAGGAATTGTGCTAGGTGAAATGAGTGAGGACAATAAGAGATTTCAGTTGGGTCCAGCAAAATAAATTGCGCAGTGAGCAGTTATATTGTCAGCTCTTTTCATCAATTTCTGGATCAGCTTCTGAGAAAGACAGAGAGGCCGGTGAGGATACTCTGGCAGATAAGATAGCACATGAAATATTGAGGAGGTTTAAGAAGGTGAATAATGGTTCACTCGCTCCACCGAGTAAGTAACAATAACTGTATTAAGGCCTGACCAGTTCTGCCAATGGTCTCTGTTTTATCTCCATGTCTATTTTTTACTTTTTCCAAAGTACTTTCCATCTATCCATCCATTACCGATACACCGCTTAATCCTGACTAGGGTCGCGGGGGGGCTGGAGCCTATCCCAGCTGGGGGGACAATGTAGACAAGTCACCAGTCTATCACAGGGCTACACTTAGAGACAGACAACCAGGCACACTCGCATTCACACCTACGGACAATTTAGAATCACCAATTAACCTCAACATGTTTTTTGACTGTGTGGGAGGAAGCTGGAGAACCCGGAGAGAACCCACGCTGCACTGGGAGAACATGCAAACTCCACGCAGAAAGATCCTGGGTGTCCTCACTGGGATGTGAACTGACGACCTTCTTGCTGCGAGGCAACAGTGCTAACTACCGATCCACCTTGCAGCTCCAATGTACTTTCCCATTTATTGAAATCCTGACCAAAGAGACAGCCACATGCAAACTTTGCTGAAAAACTACTAATACATAAGCAGAGGTGTACTATTTTAAAACTTTGTTACATTGATGAGCTCATTCTACAACTTGAAGTCCATGAAACTTTGCTATCAATCCTGATCATTTCTCCAGAATACAAGTCTTCACACTGTGAGGCTTGTCTCCCCACCATACACACATGTTTAGATTCAAACTGACTTTCCCTTTCTCAAGATTTATTTCATATGTCCATTGCAAATAAACATCCACAAATCTTAGAAATGACCTTACAACTTCAGGGCTTCTCTAGGGCTAAAAGTAGTACAGTGGCAGATGTCTGTACATTTATAGATGTACTACAAACAAGTTTGGTATACTTTGAATATTTGGTATACTTTCAGTCTGGCCAACTTGCAAAAATGGAAATAAATAATGCCTAAAAATGGACTTGTAGGCCAGTCAGGTGGCAACAAGAGGTGGAACCAGCATGGAAGTGCAGTTCATCAAAGGACCAATTAAGGCTGGCTCTAGAAGGGAGTCAAACCCCACAGATCCCTATGTTAAAATGCTCAACGTTACAGGAGAAATCAACATGTTTTCAGCCTGGTTTAAAAAACAGGAGAATGAATTTGTATATAATTTACTGGTTTAAATTGTATGAAGGATTATAGTTGTGCATATTTAAGGGTGAGGCTGCTTTGAGTGACAAGTGGATACCATTGTTGGACAGCCCATACCCCAAATATCTTTCCATGGGCTGCCTCAGCTCCACCTCTTTGCACATTTTTTTGGATTAGCTGGGAGTTAGGTAGAGTCTAGTCTAGCCTGCAGCACTATTTGCACCTCGTCATAATTCATTATAATTATTTGTATTTCTTTAAGCAAGGATGCAGTAGTACGGTATTCCCTTGAAAATAAAGGTGGAAAAATTGTTTTTGGTTAAGCGTTTTACATAGGGAGATGTCGCTGTCATTAAAATGGTTAATTTGCAAAAAAAATTTAAAAAAATAGCAGGACTGCCTTACTGTGCGATCCAAATCCTCTGCAAAATTTGAAGTGTGGTAGGTTGCTAACCTGGAGGTTGTTGTTCCAGGAAATTTTGAAAACATATAGATGCCGGAAGTGGGTGAGAACGCAATATGTGTGGCCAATGGCAAACCTACACCCACAGCCTACATGTGGCAAGTCAGACTAGGAGGAATCAGGCTCTGCCCAAATGATGACAGCTGAACCCTCCACAAAGACTTTCAAACCCACTGGCCAGGAAACCTATTTTACTAAGTCTAACAACTATCACAGACAGAAAATGCTGTTTTCATACTTACTTCATACTCCAAAGCTTTACAAACTGACAGTGCTCTACACATTCACTGCAAGGACTGGCTTCATTAAAGCAAAACATCATTAATTAAAACATATATCTTAAAAAAAACACTTCTGAGAATTTGTAGATAAACTGTGCCAGGTTCCATTACCAAAAAATTCATCTTTGAAAGCACTGCCTGCTTCCCTCATGCGAACAAGCCAATCACTAAAAACAGCAGTGAGAATTTCTGAGATTGCATTGACCTTAATCAAGAAAAATCAGGAGTGTACTCCCTGTGCCTGCAGTTACAACATCTCTTAATATTTGTGTGCAGCCACAGTGCATGTGATGTTGTGCTCACCTGTCTATATTTTCTATTTCTGTTCTGCAGTAGGTGAAGCGAGCAGAACATCAGATCTGTTGCAGACACCTGAGCTCAATGCTTTCCCTTTAAAAGTCCTCACCCTTCCTCAGTCTACATTTAGCTTTTCTCACCTGCACATCTTTGTTTGCTGTGTGCTATTCAACATAATTAACGTCACGCATACATACATGCACTGATTATACTGACAACTTCATTTCTTAGTGTTTTTGTTTGTTTTTCTGGTAATTTCATGTTTTCTGTTCAAATAAATTAGTTAATGAGTGGCAATGTCACTCAATCCTTTGTCCCAGCTTCTGATCCTGGTTGTGAAAGAAATGGCAGCAGTATCAGCTACTTAGTAGTCACTGATGCCACTATGAGTGCAAGTTTTCACATTATTTTTAGTTTAGTATTTTTATTAAATGTATTTGTTCATGATTGCTGGTGGCACAATTTTGTCAGAATTTCCCCTCTTATCTTTCTTTGCAGGAAGCTCTAATTTTACCTATTATCTCTTTTATTGCATTTTGAACCAGTAGTTTGACATATTCATGTAAGATAGGGGCTCAAATGGACTGATGGATGGATAATTTTTTAACTGACGGTTCCTTTCCAACTTTTTCCCAATCGACTTCTCTGCAATATATGCCATAGTACAGCCTCTGTCCATCAGTCTCTTAATCGCTTTATGAAAAATCTCCTTTATCTCCTCCTATTTCTGTTATTTTTTCTCTTCATTGTTCTTTTTTCTAATCTTTCCTACACTTTAGCTGCATTATGTCATATATTCACTTTGTGCTATGAAAGATTTACAACAAGCCTCCTGAAAGTTTGACCCACCATTTTCTTCGAAAGCTCTTCAGCCAAGAGCTTGTTTTGCATGCTCTTCTCCTCGACCTCCAGGCTCTTCTGGTCGTAGTTGACGGCCAGCTCCTCCAGGGCCTGAAGGACCTCCTTAACCTCCGCCTTGGCAGATTCATTCTCTGTTTGTAGCCTGCCGAGCTCTGACTGCACCTTCTCACTGTCGCCCCTGGATGATGCTAGTAGCTGAGGGGTACAGAGATTTAGCTGAGAATGTCAAGTGTATAGCAGCATCCCCTTCATTATTCACAGAGCAGAGCAGCTGGATTTTAATAAAACATTACAGTGCTGTTTATGTTGTTCTTTCATAATCAGAGATTAGTGTGTGTACAAATCCTGGTATGCAATACAGGTGTGATTAAACAGATGAAACATATTTTTTAATATTTGTCTTAGACTATTAGTTGACACTGCAAGAGCTGATGTTATTTTTTAGCTAACATGGTGTTTGCTGCACTGCTGCAGCCCACTGTGGGTCATTTCACTAAATGGATGTCATTAAATGTAGATGTTGCTCTGCCTGGGGTGCCGGCAAATTTGCACTCCAGCGTACAGCTTCTCTTTGGACAGATGGATGTAACTTGGTGTTATTTTGCACAAACTATGGTTGGGTAGTTATGACAGTGTCAGCTTAACCCACAGTAGGACCATTTTGGGATGTGCAAGAGCAAATTTAGCAAATGTTGAGTCCCTTACTACATGGCAAAGCCTGTTTCAGGTTGTCTAGCTCACTGGTTTAGCCTCTGCTATGAAGACAAGCTGTAAATACTGCCCTTAATTACCTTTTAGTGGAGTCTTTTAATTGCTGCTCTTCCCACAAGTGGAATATACTGTACAGATTGTACAAGTGTGCTTATTTACTGTAGACAGTTGTGTAATAAAGCAGCATAAACCAGTTTCTGTTACATAAAGGGATAACACATTCACAAAGATGGTGGAATTGTGCTCATCTACAACATATTAAATCGTATATCTGATCACTAGAAAAAATTGCTTGTTTGTTTATCAGACATAATTTCAGCTAAGAAAAAAAAGCACCATGGGTTATTCCTGTCGCTACACTAAAGACACAACATTAAAAAAATGAACAGTTTCCACAGGTATTCCACATCAAGATTCAGTCCTTCAGCACTCTTTGTATTATTCTCTTTTCTTCTTTTCATCTCTGAGTAGGCTGTGCCTGAGCAGCCACTGACATCTATTTTAAACTGCCGCTAATATGTACTGTAAATACACTTCTGACTAAACAACGGCAACTTAATTTCTCCAAGTGCTTTCTGGCACCTGAAGAGAGTCTTTCTTTTCTCTCATTCATCTCAAGGGCAGGATAATAAACCTCTCGCAGCTGACTTGTATTCAAAGTGCGACTTTTATTGTCGCATTTGCAGGCACTGCAGCCCACTGTGAGCTGTTAAACTAAACTGATGAAAGGATGTAAAACCAAGATCTTTTACCTCCTCCTGGTCGAGCATCTGCTCCTTCAGCTTCTCCACCATCTGGCTCTGGTGGTTGATCTCATCATCCTTGAGTGGAAAGCAGATACATGGAGGAGATACCGTTAATTTGCATTGTTGCATATTATATATACTGGTGCAGAACAGGTACCTTGTACACTATCATGTAGCAAGAGACTTTCCGGTTACACTTAACTGTACAAATGGTATAATGGTATTTTCAATACTATTTGAGTAAAAACATCTACACTATGCAACCACAAACAAAAGCACACTATATTATTTACATGACATCAATAAAGGTAAGTAAAATTATTATTCAAAAATAATGTATTTGATCATCTGTGGTCAGCTGATCTGGTGCAGCACAATGGAAATAACCTAGCTCTGCCAAAGCTAAGCTCAGCTACCTTCAACCAGAAATACTGCATGTAATACAAAAAATATTCCAGGTATCTCCTGTGTATAAATACAATGAACATGTAACATAGGACATTATTCATCAGGTCTGTTATGGCAGGTGTACCATATTAGATAGAGAAAAAAAAATACAATTCATGCATCCCCATGGATTGCCATGTCTGCACATCTACACACCTAGATATGTCCACATGTGTAAAAAATGTTGAAACATCTTTTTTTTTTTCTTATATACATTGTGAAAGAAAAATGTTCTCTACTGATTCAGCATATTTAATGGAATATACAACGATGAAAACAACAAAATGCCATATTGTAGAGCATGGTGTATATGTGTTAAATAAATTAAAGTTTTCGTGCTTTTTAATGTTGAACATTAATATTCCCCCAATGATATGTATTCCTAGGGGTTGCTACATTAGTTACTACTATAGTGTAATCCTGAATTCATTTACATGAATAATGAATATATGATATGCTCTTTGTATTCATGCATATCATTACAAAAATCTCAGTCATGGTGTGCAATCAGCTCTACATTCATGCACAAATGGTCCTCGTATCCATTCTTCACCTTATCATCCAGCTGTTTGTACAGCTTGCGGATCTCCTCCTCATACTTCTGCCGCTCTTCCTCAGAAATATGAACCACAATGGAGGAGGCAATGGAGCAGGGGCTGCATGGGCTGCAGGGGCTGCAGGGGCTGCATATATCAAGAACTGGCTCCTCCGATTCTGAAGGTGCCAGAGGGACATCCTCCAATTCTTCGCTCAGCTGCCCCTCACCATCCTCACCTAAAGACAAGGGACAAAATATTTGATCTTTTTTTTTTTTTTTTGTGAAGTGTTGCTCTTATCTCTGGCAAATCCTTCCCTGAGGATTAATGCAGAAAAAAGGGATTAGTGGGTTAATCTCTAGCACATGTTCTTTCCTTATTCCTGAATGCATTTAAATGTCAGGTTTGAGATATTTCAGTGCCGCAAATCAGCATCCTTTTCTGTACACTCAGACCCAACAGCTGTGCAAAACACCACATTTATACAACATTAAAATGCTAGTTGGCTGGTAAGAAAATTCAACACGCTAGCTGTGCACTTTATGGCATAAAGAACACAGAGAAAAAAAAAACTGCAAGGCCGTTCAAGCTTGATGCTCTTTCTCAGGCAGCATCAGGAGGTTTATGGCATAGGGTTTTGTGTTATAATGTATTTATCAGTTTATTTTTCTGACATTAACAGACATATAAGTATAAACATCTTCATGTAGCCAGAGGATGAGCATCAAGACTGAAACATACTGAATCCAGAACAGCTGCTATTCTATGCTTTTGTGTTCCCCATGTCATTATGTGCATACGTTTGTGCACAAACACTCTTTTTCTGATTTTCTTGCTTTGTCGCTTTCTGTTTTGTCATTATGTCTATTCAAGAAGCTTTCTACTTTTGAGTGACTTCTGCACAACACGGATTTGACTGATACGATGTACTGTAGCTGGAAAGTAGATCAATTTGGAAATTGAGTGCTTTGAACTTTAAGACAAGGTCAAATAATCTATACTTCACAGATTAGGTTGTCCCATCTACATAAAGGTGTGTTAATCAATAAAAGCAGCTGTCAAATTAAATGTACTAAAAAACTGCATGCAGGTGACTCTTCTAGCTCATGGAAGATCCCCAATCTAGTTTGTAAAGAAGTGTGACTTAATGGAATTGACTGTAGGACAGCTGTTCTTTTCTTTGGGCCATCATCGGCTAAAGAGTTGGGTAATGTGGTACAAGAAGGAGGTCAACAGCATTCATCTCAGGGAGTTCCTGGCCTGAGGTGGGCAACAATATAGAGAGCAGTGAGAGGGGAACAGGGTCGATGATGTTGTCAAAATGATCCATTACAAAATTAAAGTTGCTAAATGGTGAGAGAATAGAGAGAAGGAGAGTCAAGGGAAATATTGTGTGTGTGAAGGAGAACGAGAGTTACTGAATATGAGGAAGCAGTAAAAGAAATTGTTTTCACTGATGTCCTCAATAAAGATGTGTTAAAATTCAGGTCAAGCACTGAGGGAATGATGAAGAAAAACACTGGACAAGATTCATTACCTGACTTGAATGTCAGACGATCACTATCACTGAGAGCTCTGACATTTGAAAAGACCTAATCCGACAGCTGATAGATGTGTGTGCATGGGTAATTAACAGAAAATGTGTGTGTGAATCTCTTCCTATACTTGTGTTTTGGTGGGTGCAGTGACACAGGTGTGTGTGTGCTGACACATGAGAAGATGGGTGTAAGTTATGACTTCTCTGTAGATGTGATTAGCCTTTGCTGCTTTGAGGATTACTAATACATAAGGATTCATAAAATATAAAGCCCCCAACATTCCCAGCCTTCAATGCAGTGTGAGAGGGAACCCAATTATCCAAAGTGTAAAAGTCTGAATAATATAGAACATAAATAGCCAGAAAGGAATTTTTAAGTGTTTTGGGCACAAGTCCAACAAGTCTGTTTTGGCAGCGCCTTCCCTTGTATCCCTGCTGGCAGGTATTCAGATGATATCAAATGAGGTTAAATCTGCACTTACGTGGACTGAAAAATAATGTCTGCAGCCTGGTAAAATTTTCATTCCTGTTAGTGACTACTGGGACTAGAACGGGGACATACTGTATACTGCAGTGATTCTTTTGTACAGAGATTTGTGTTTTCTGGACTGGAGTATCATCCGTCTCCAGCACAAGCTTTTCACATGGAATTACCTCAGTTCTGTGGTTTTTACAGTATAGAAGGCAGCTGATCCTTTCGCCGCACATAAAAAAAACAGATTCAGGATCCTGCATTGCAATCATTTTCGCTAAACTGTGCTGAATTTTCATTCCTTTTCTATAATTTATTGTGGTAATTTAACAAGTCTACAGCCACACTAGCAGCTCTGTGAATAGGATAAAGAGACCTATGTGCCAAATAACAACTCACAATGCAAACATGCTGATACTCAGCAGGTAGAACATTTACTATTATTACCTTCTCAGTATAGCATGTTAGGATGCTAAGATTTGCTAATTAGAGATTAACACAAAGTGCAGCTGATGCTGCTGGGAATGTAATTAGTTTTGCAGGCATTTCTTAATTAAGCAAAGTATTGGCACATAAAATTAGGAAGTGAATGTGGCACTAGATAAAATGCCAAGGGAGCTGCAGAGTCGCTATCACTCATCTTGAGGAGTCAGGAAAGTCTGAGCCACATTTCAATGCAATCCATAAAATTGCTTTTGAAACGATCAAAACCAAAAGTGGTGGTGCTGGAGAGATTACCATCCTCTGGAGACTTTGAATGTGTGTAACACATTTCACTGCATTCCATCTTGTTGTCTGAGCCAAGGAGAATTAACTGACCAACCAGCAAGCCAACACTCAAATCCTAAGAAAGGTACTGCTTCTGGCTTGGCTGAAAATATAAACTTGTCATGGTTCTAACATTCAACACAAAAAGCATCGATAATGTCAAAATATCTGCAACAATTTTCACAGTTTCCTGGAAGAAGATGATATGCAGTGGTTCTGTGAGTCAGTTCAAGAATTACCATTCCTCAGGCGGTTCAGCTCAGCCTCGAGTCTTTGAATAGTCTCCTTCATTGACCTGTTCTTCTCCTTTTCTTTTTCGTACTTCTTCTTCCACTGCTCTGCTGTGAGCTCCAGGTTCACTGTTACAGTGTTTCTTATCGTCTTAGCTCTAATTGGAGGAATACAGTGGGAAATAGAAGAAGAGCAAGGGAAGACGAAAAGGGAAGGAAGGGTGGGTAGGAGGTGTGAGAAAAACATATACAAGAGGGGGGAAAAATAAAAGTGTGAGACAACAGTAGAGAACAGAGAAACTGTCAAGAAGGGGTTTCAGCCCTGGTTTCTCAGTGAGAATGGGCTTGCATCTCATTAATTGGTATGCAAATTGGGTTTCTGCCAACTGTGTTTGATGGTGCATGTAAGGGGAAAGAGGTACACAGAGGAAAAAAATCAAAAGGTAAAAATGAATGAGACCGCTTGAGGCACACAGTCACATCAAAATCTCAAAATATAGCTGTCATACAACTCATAGGAAGATGGAATATGCATGTGACTATAAATTATTCCTAAGCTATGGCACAAATAAGTAGCATCACAGCATCATTTGTGATGCTACAGCCACAGCACTCAGTGGCTATCACTTAATTTCACACTCCAGTGAGAAAACCCTGTTGTCCTGATTCATTTGCTCCATGATATTAGCCAGACAAAGAATCCTATCTAAAGTTGTCTCATCACATCAGAATTTAGATAACACATTATTTAGACAGTGAAATGCTGATAATCAAATATCAGGTGACAAAAAGTTGAAAATGAACAAAATGGAAGGCTAATAGCTCTTTTATGTGCTATGTCTATAAACTGTTTTTGTTTTGTTTTTTTTTTTTCAAATTCAGCCACAAAATCTTTATTTTTAGTAAGCAAAACCCAAAAATGTATAGTTCTTTTCTAATTTCAGTAACTGTCAGTTGCTTTAAATACTGCTTTATTTACTCAAAACCTTACATTTGTTTCTGAAACAATATGGTCACTTTGAAAAACTGATAATACTGATACTGATAATACCCAAACAAAGTGTGACAACAAATGTTTAACTTCATGTCATCACATTTTTATAGCACATAGGTTTAAAAGAAAAAAAAAAAAAGAATTTAAGCGTAACATTCAGCAGCTAGTATTGGTGACAGACAGAGTAAAGAGATAAAAAATTTGCAAATTCAAATATCTGCTTTGAATTCTGTCACTCCCTTTGCTCAGTAATACATTATTTATTTCAACCAACACTCTCATGTCAGTCTCAATTTAATGGTGGTGGGGAAATGCATAAGGAAGCTTTTTTTAGGATCTTTTTATCCATCCGTGACTTGACTGAGTTGACAGTGAGCAATAGAGTCGGAAAGCTGGCAAACAAACCAAATCTCTGATTCTTTGAATGTAGCTTTAGATTAAAAAACAAAAAAAATAAAAAAACAACTTTAAGCATCTCAGCAAAATCAGAAACCAAAATGCAACACAAACTCTGCCTCTAAACCGTTGTGTGGGTTGTCAAAGGTTGGAGTCAGTAATACGTGAGCAGCATATCTGAAGTTAAAACTGCAAGAACATCCCAACAGCTGCATCTGACTTATACAGGGACGCATGCTGTGCTGCACAGCGCAAGAGCTCGTGGCTACTTAGCATACAAGCATGTTACCGTTGGCCAAACATCAAGGTGGATTTGGTCTCTGCATCGTTGTAGCTAGAGGGAGAGCAACAGATAAACATCGTGGTGCGACAGTTCCCGCCCAGCGAGTCCTGCAGGATGCGAGTCATTTTGCTGTCCCGGTATGGCACATGGGATTTCTACAGAAAGAGATAGGAAGAGGAAGAAGAAAGACAATCAAAGATAGCAAGAAAGAGTATGAAAAAAAAGAAGACAGAGGAGAGGACTAAAAAGTTGAAAGAAATTCTGAATTGCTGCACCATTACAGTGCCTTTCTTTGAAAAACTAAAAATATTCACTGTTAGCATCATCAGACAACAACGAGAGAGGAGATTTCTCTCCATCTGCTGCATCAGTCACAATATTACCTCTTTAACCTTTGGAATGACTTCAAAACGACTGTCCTTCTGCAAATGAATAAAGAATGAATGCCAGTATATTTATAAAAGATTTGTGAGGCATTTTACAGTCGGCGAGCCTTTCCATTAGGTTTATGAGGAGTTCCCTAAGCCTTCAGAGTTACGTAATAAGAGATGGTGAATATTTTAACTGCAGCGATGGAGCTTGGGAAGACTACAGAGTCGGTACAATGGATCATGTATCTAGCTGTAGCAACACTGGGAATTGTGGACAAGAGGGACAGAAAAATAGCTGCAGCAGGAGAATGTCAATATCGGAGAATTCAGAACTCTGGTTTGCCTGCAGATATATGTTGGTTTTTACCTCTGGTGCTAAAGTTTCACATTTGTTGCTTAATATATGTGCATGGCAGCTATGAAATGGTTAATGCCGTGGCAACACTGATTGTGCAGATTATGCAGCAGAATGTGCCTTTTTAGTGGCTACACCTGCAGTGCATGTACGGCGTAGCGTGGTGGAAAAACAAAACAATGAAGTTTAATTTCAGGACAGTTTCTGGAACCAGCACAGCACTGTAACACTTTATTTGTGTATTATTTGCAAGTCAATATCTATACAGACTCCAGTAGACTCTGTAGGGGATAAAGCAACTGCCAGCAGGGTGATATAAACCTGACACAAAGCAATCATTTCATGTACACCCTGTTCCTAATTATTATACAAATGATATTTTTCTTTGATTTTCCTAAATAGTCGATGCAAATGACAGTCAGCACAATTTTAAAGTCATCAATAGTATAATTTGAGTGTTATTGAACAAACCTCCCGATGATAGCAGTATTTTTTTTTCAAAAATAAAAAACTGAAAATGCACTGTTTCAAATTATTGCACACAACAGAGTTTAAAAACATTTTATAGGTTGTAAAGAACTAAAAATAGTAATTTGTTGAATTTGCAGCATTAGGAGGTCAAATTTACTGAAATCAAAGCTATTTCAGTCAAAAACATCTTAACAGGTCACGTTACATTTTAACAGAAGACCCCTTATTTGAGAGCAGCTTCTTGCATCCATTGAACTTGTGAGTTTTTGGACAGTTTCTGCTTGAATTTCTTTGCAGGATGTCAGAATAGCCTCCCAGAGCTGCTGTTTAGATGTGAACTGCCTCCCACCCTCATAGATCTTTTTCTTGAGGATGCTCTAAAGGTTCTCAATAGGGTCCAGGTCAGGGGAGGATGGGGACCACATCATGGGTTTTATGCCCATAGCAGCTAATGATGTGGTCCCCATCCCTTGCAGCATGAGACGGTGCATTATCATGCATGAAGATGATTTTGTAACAAAAAGCATGGTTCTTCTTTTTCTACCATGGAAGAAAGTGGACAATCAGAAACTCCACTCATTTTCACACCTTCAGGGACCCTAAAGGGGCCGACCAGCTCAATTCCGGCCCAAAACATGACTCCGACACCTCCTTGCTGACTTCACAGCCTTGTTGGGACATGGTGGCCGTACACCTACCATTCACTGCTCCATCCATCGGACCATCCAGGGTTGCACTGTTTGAAAATTAGTATTCATGTATTTCTGGGCCCATTCTGCTTGTGAGCATTGGTTAGGGGTGGCCGAATAGATGGTTTATGCATAACTGCAAGCCTCTGGAGGATCCTACACCTTGATGCTCGTGGGACTCCAGAGGCACCAGTAGCTTCAAATACCTGTTTGCTGCTTTGTAATGGCATTTTAGCTGCTGCTTTCTTAATCCAATGTATTTGTCTGGCAGAAACCTTCTTCATTGTACCTTTGTCTGCACAAACCCGTGTGTGCTCTGAATCAGCCACAGATCTCTTAATAGTACGATGATCACACTTAAGTTTTCGTAAAGTATCTAAGGTTTTCATACCTTGTCCAAGGGATTCAACTATTTCATGCTTTTCAGCAGCAGAGAGGTCCTTTTTCTTTACCATACTGCTTGAAAGTGGTGGTCTTTGTTTAGCAGTATTTCCTTTAATTGGGCTTACTTTAAACTAATTTCCACAGGTGTCTGAAATTGTTTTCAGTGATCCAAAGAGCCCTGAGACACAATACCATCCATGATGGTAAAACAAAAAATTCAATCTTTATGACGCTTACATACAATTTGCATAATAATTTGGAACGCAGTGTAAAGTGGTAGTGTAATTAAAGAAATACAGGCACTTCATGAGTATTAAAGGCTTTTTACGTTTGCAGCACAGATTTCTCACATGCTGCTTTCACACCTGGTGTAGCCAGTGTCATTGATGTTGCAGCTTTGACTCTGAGTATGGTCCACATATATTAGCCAGACAGTGTAGTCATGGCGATTGGTGGAAATGTGGAACCTCCAAGCCTCATTAGTTAACATATTTTGTCTTGTTTGTTTTATCTCTGATGATTGCCTAGAAAACTCACAATGATGAAAACATTCAAGACATTTGGCAAGCAAACAGTTTTTATCTTGGCAGTACTTTCTTGGGGGAAAAGAAACCTTTCAGCATATTGGAATTCAAGTGATCTGAGAGGAAACTAGATTTTTGCACCTTGTCTAGAAAATGTAGCTTTGCGATGAGAGACTTTATCCAATCACAGAGCAGGTAGGATAAAGACCAGCGAAGTCCATAGTAATAGAGATTTTTACTTGAGAGTGCAGGGTTTGAATCCCATGTAGAGCCACAAATGAGTGTTGACTTTTAGTTTGATTGTTTTTGTGCATTTTAAGCATGGCCGTTTACTTCCCACCTCAACTAACCAGATGCTGGCAGCCACGTAACATTTGCTGTATAGATATAACACTGCTATCAATCTTCTAATTTAACTCTTGGCAAGAAAACTACGAAACATTTTGTTCCAAAATGTCTCAGTGAACTATTCCTTTCAAGTAGGATTAGGGTTTACTCTAGAGATGCTGGCCAGATTCATTGTACTTTATAATTTGGCTTTGACTGACTGTTGTTGTCATTTGGTACCGAACTAATATCCCCATTCAGGACATTTAGGTTGTTCGAACAGAATAGTTTCAGCTAATATAGTGCAGCAGGGTCTGCATTTTGGAAAACAGATTGTTTTGGCAGCAAACATTAGATGTCTGTTAAAAACAAACAATTAAGAAGACCAGCCTCAGGCAACCACCAACATATAAGACAGACTGCAGAACATTTCTCCACCATACCGTTCCCTCAGCCAAAGCTGAAATGACGTTCCCCAGAGCCGACAGAGACTTGTTGATGTTCTTGGCCTCATCCAGCACCGCTCCCTCTGCGCCTGTCTTACTGACCTGACACAGATACACACACGCACATCAGAGGAATTAGTTCAGAAAGTACATTATCGGTGTGGATACCATGTTTATTTTCCTGGTAATACTGTACCTGACATGTAACTGTAAATTTATAGGACAGTTTCCAGATAATGACTGTGCACACTGTAATGTGATTTTGTACTGATTGGACAGAAAACGGAAACAGTGTATGGGTGGTACACTTACAATTGATTAGTTGCAATGAACTGCAGCCGTAACCTAATGAGCAGCAGGTCAGCAGAACATGCAAACATGTAAAACATCTGTGAAACAGCCGTCACGTGGTTCAACATACTAGTGTATGGATATAAAAGGTAGAAATCAATGAATGAGCAAACTATTTACTTCCTGCACAACCAAATAAACTAACATAACTATTAGAAATTAGTCTTTATTTTCCATTGCAAACTTGCAGGGAAACTGTAAGGAAAATACAGACCTTTAAAATAAAACAATTGTGCACTATACTGTAAATTACTAAAAACCGAAACACTGGGAGCCAATTAGCTTTTGAGAGGGTTTCTGCATGAGATTCAACTTTAATAAGAAACACGCTCCATATTGTGTCATTATCGTCATGGGATACAATTATTTACAGCAAGATAACGAGGGGCTTAATTATAGAGGCGAGCAAGTTGTCCCATCAAAGCCTTCTGTAGAGCATGTACCAGCTTTCTGTTCAGTCAATAATATTGTGTAGCAAAGCCTAAGATGTTGCTGGAGCAGAACCACTTCCTCATTCTACCCCAAGGATGACCAAGACAAGTTAGAGATGCACTATCAGCAGTTATTAGCTTAAAACCACAGACATAAGCATCTATCCAGACTGTATGGCCATCTACTATGCCCACCACTCCATGTTTTACATCAATACTTTCCACAAAAGACTGTATCCAGGAGCCAAGGGCTATGTTCAGCAGTGTCTCTAATGTATTTTCTACTTGTTTTCCACAGTGTGACCTATGTCCTGAAGATAAATAGTTATAGCTGGTGTGATGAGAGAGCTGACTCAGATTTCACCTGAAAGACCTTGAAAGAAAAAAAACTATTTGTTGTTTGTGGTTCCCAACAAAGTGACATTTGCCCTGCTAAAACCTGTTTTAGAGCTTATCTGAAATGAAAATGAAAAATAATTCTTTAAAGGGCTTACTATTTCTCAGAAAATGTTTTGTTGTCTTTATCAGTGAAACCAATTGGATTCCTCAAGATGAGCAAACACTCACCCTGATCTTGCATCAGTGATGGACGAAATTAACAAAGGCAAAATATAGTTCAGTCTCCAAAATGGATATTTTTTAAATAATTTGAAATTGAACAAAAATCCAGTGCAGTTGCCCAAAGTGAGTGCTTTAGGGGTGAAGTCTGGGGCTTTAATGCATTCCTTATCTGCGTCTTTGATGTCTGAAAACACAATTTCTGAGAAAAGCATTTTGCAATCCTGTCAGCAGCAAATGTTGTGAGCTCATAGCACTGACAATCCTTGCTGTTCATGTTTTTTTTTACAGAAAATTCCCCATTTGTCCTACCTTTTCACTGCCAGCTAGGTCGACCAGGTATAGCTTCCCAATCAGCTTCTGCTCTGTCTCCACGTTTTCTTGTTTGATGTTTATCAGGAAGATACTGTGACTGCGGGAACTGTGCTCATTCATGTCTAAAGAATGAGATAAGGAGAGGACTCTTTACACACAGTTTTATTCAACTCATTATTTCCTTTATACAGAGTTAAGTGAGATCTTCACTTTACAACTCACCATGCATTTCCCCTTGCACCTTAATATTGCCATACATAAACAGCGCTAAAAATTTCCCATGAGTTGTCTGACAGTGTGAGCGTCAGAACGACAGGAAGATCTAATGTGTGACTCACTGGTGACAGCAACGTGACGGTTGGCCTTCCCTTCATCTATCACATCCATCACCTCCTCTGGACTTGTGACGAAGCGTTCAGTGCAGCCCTTAATGAGACAAACACATCCAGACATTAATTTCCACCTTCAAGAAAACATGGTCCAATATACATACAATGCATGCATAAATAAACGTATGTAAATGAATGCTCCTTACCAGTTTTTCAGAAATGCACACACAAATACACAAATTCAGACCCATAGAAATATACAGAACACTGAATTAGTACCCTCAAAGGTATAAAAGAAAAGGTTTGAGATAATGGGAAAGTCTTTTATTTGCTCTTTTAGAATAGCGTTAAGTGAACCACCTAACTTAGATGAGAAAATTGATACCACTCTCCATCCAGACCAGTAAGTACCGTGTAAGGTTACAAATAACAGCTAGACTGGTTCTGTCAAACTGAACTGACCAACAACATTTATGCTGTTTGGTTTATTTCTACAAAAACATTTAACTATTTCCAAGCATTACGCCAGTTCAACCAGTGGAGACCTCATACTGGTCGGTGTGTCTTGTCCCCATTTGACAGAGGCAACTACACTAACATGCTGCTGGCTGTAGCATTTACTTTACAGACATAAGAGTGATATCTGTCTTTCCATCTCTGACAGGTCAAATGAGTGTATTTTCCAATATATCAAACTATTCTTTTGACACAGGTACACCCATAACAGAAACAACATCATTATAACAGAGAAAAATGACAACTTGCTGCCAAATGGAATCTTGTCTACAGATGACTCACCTTCACATAAGGAACTCTGTGTTTGTCTTCGTGCACTGACAAGTTGGTTTTTGTCACTGCGGTGCGAGGGGAAAACAAGGCGAGAGGTCATTGTTTCACCTAAAGCATCGTGTGTGTGTGTGTGTGTGTGTGTGTGTGTGTGTGTGCAAGCTTGTGCAAATGAGCATCTGCACATAAATGTTCTTCTTCCCAGCACAACTATAATCAGACGTGACTGTGTTCCCTTCGTATTTGTGAATCAGCCTGCAGTAATGCAGTGTGAAAAAAATACATATCGGAGGGTCTCGCTAGGAATGTTTTTAATAGAAACTCCTGCCAAAGTCACTGAGAGGTTAAGGATACGCCTCAGCTAATGTCAACGAACCAAATACTAATTTTTGGCAAAGACAGTTTACTGGCCCAACTTCTTGCGTTAATCATTTCGCATTTGAAAGTCCCATCATGTTGATGTTAATTAAATTTAATCTGATTGTGGAGGCGTTTTTTTCCTTGGAGACTGTGTGTGTGTGTGTGTGTGTGTGTGTGTGTGTGGGCTTTTTGTCACCCTATAGTCATTTTGTCTCTCAAATATCCCTACAGGGTGTTGTTCTCTTTGCTGCCTCGATTCATCTCACTTGTTGTGGACTCCTTTTTTTTTGTTGTTGTTGTTGTTCATAGCTTAAATGTTCCTGAGCCACTGTGAACTCCCCTGCATACAGATGGGGGATTTCACCGCTGTTTCTGGCCCCATTAAAGATGTAATCACAGGGATGCTGTGTACAGCTCTCTATCCAAGACTCGCCATCATTTTACATTGGTTATATATGTCAGTGATAAGACTGTGGGCTGCAGTGTTCAGGTGCATCTATATGTATAATACAAAAAAATAAAACCCACAAAGCTTTACTGTCTGGTGCAGATAAGCAAAAATATGAAGGACGGGATCAAGATTGTTTACTTTTTCAAGTTAAACTTTACAATTCAGTTCCATTTTCAGTTGAACTATTATTATTATGACAATTTAAGAGAGGAGGAAGTAATAATAAATACTGTCGTTTTCTTCATAGCCCAATTTTGTGCATTTTAAAAAAGAACAAGAAAAAGAAAAGTGTATTCAGTTTTAGGAAAATATAATCTTAAAAATAAATAAAAACATAGATGCAGATGAAGTTTAAGTGTTGAGTTATGTCTGCATCTGTTTCTCATTCTGTATATGGCCCCACACAATAAGTTATCAGAATATCAGGGTGTCATTCTATCAGTTTTAACAAATGTGTCTTGTCGTGGCTTCTGAGTACAAACATACCATCAAGTAGATCCCGGATTTTATCCAGGTAGATTTCAAAGTAGGAGACCTGCAGCAAACCAGAAACACATGTCATGGGATTTTTCCCAGAGAGACAGAAAGAGAATCTAATGCAGATAAATGATGAGGATGGGATAGCTGCTTATTGTACAAACACAAATTGCAATATGACGTTGCAGTAATCTGTCCTCCTGCGAGTCCGGTTAGGTATTATCCTCTATTATAAAACAGCAGTGTAAAAGGGAAAATATTGTAGGATGATTACGGTTTAATATCATGATTTATTGATGCTTGGCTGGTTCCACTCAGCCCATCCATGTGAGGATTACATCAGAGGTTCAACTGAATTCCCACTGAATGTAACAAGAGTAAGAGCAGAAATCGAACATGTACATCCCTGTGCGTGAGTGACAACTACAGAAATGTACAACTGTGCACGGCTATGCGCACAAACCTTTATGTGGAATTCTAGGTTCTCGTCCATGGCAAATATATGTTCAAATATGTCCTCTGCAATCCGGGGTATGATTCCCATTCCCTTGGGATCATGAAGGTTCCCCTGCAGGAAGAATGAGACGAGATAAGGACATGTGAGTGATGACTGGGATAAATGCAGGGCCTGGGACGAATTAAGCAGAGAGAATAGTAAAAGACAGGAGAGCAGAGAGGCTTTTGACTTAAAAAGGAACAGGGTTGTTTCCCTGAGAGAGTTGTAAAAGAGGTTAGTTCCCACACAAGGCTGGGAAAGAGCGATAGAGAGTGATGCCTGTGATGGAGGGAGATGTACTGTCAGGAAAAGCAAAGGAGGAGAAAGAAACATGTGTGTGAGCCACAGCAAGAGGGCTATCTATTCAATTATTTAGCAATACTGTACCTCCATGGTGTGTGTCTTTCCCGAAGAAGTCTGCCCATAGGCAAAGATAGTACCATTGTATCCACCCAGCACATCTACAATAAGTAGGAAGCAACAAAAGCATGTCAGAGAGAGAAACAATGAAAAACAGCAAAAAGGAAAAGAGTGCAGAAATGAAAAATGTCAATAAAACTGTTTGAATTACAGATTTCAGCCAGACGATTGGAAAAAAAAAGTCAGAAAGACAAATATCTCTGACCTTTGTTTCCAAAGGCAGATCAAGCGGAGCCTCATGAAGTTTACGTGCATTGAGAAATATGTGGTATTTAGGCTTGGTTAGGTACTGAACAACCTCTGTGGTTACACACAATAAACAACAACTACCTGCAGGGTTCAGGTCGCCAGGAGGCACTCAGTGAAGTACAAGGCAAGCACAAATATATTATTTCCTCCATTCATTTGGTGGGCGCTACAATGAAAACAACACCTCCTCACCAGTTTATGTTATAAAGAACCACACTGTTTAATGTCATATTGCTGACAGAGTCCAGTAAACCCCTGTGGTAAAAGTCAAACATGGATAAAGAAAAATGTGTCACCCTGAAAGGCCGTATGCCACAGGTTCGCTGACCACAGACTAATCACAAAGGCTCTCGGCTGAAGCCATGCAGAACCCTTTTCCTCGTCTCCTCTCTTGCATTGCTTCTACCCTAACAGCTCTCAGTTCAGCATCAAGTTTCCTCTGCTGCCACACTGGTCATAGTGTGACACATAAAAGAAGAAATAATAAAGAACGTGTCTTTGAAAAGAAATAAAGACAGCGGGAGATGGGAAACAACAGAGGCCACTCCAGAGGAGAAGAGACAGCCTGAGTGTGAGAGAAAGACATTGAAAAGGGCAAAGAGAGAGACAGCAAAAAAAAAAGAGAGAAACACAGGCAGAACGACAATAAAGTCGGGGAAGTCTAAACATAGTTATGTGTCTACAAGCTAGCTTTTTCTGGCCTCGCTTGCCCTCTCTGTTACCCTTTTCCCCTGGCACATTTCAAATCTCACTTCTTATCACACTCCTTCATTTTGCTAAATCACTACCTTGAAATTTTTCAACCATTTTTTTCCCTCGCCTCTTTATTTCTTCCTTCCTCAGTCTACATGGTAATCTCACACTCTATAAGTAATCTCGCCCACCAAATCAATCTTTTTCATGCTCCATCTAGAACTAGTTCAATGGAGTTCCACACTCGCTTTGAAGGTGGAAGAAAAATGAGACCCTAACAGCGGAAAAAAGGAGGCAGACAGATGTAGGGAGATGCAGACAGAGGGAGGGGGAAAGGAAAAGAAATTCAAAGCTTCAGGGCATTGGTTTCATTTGATCTCATGCCTACTGTATATACCAGTCCGGCTGTGATGTGACGGGAATGCCTGATGTTAATTTGTGCATTTTGATGCTCATATATGTAGCTCATGTGACCACATCGTGTCAGGAAAACTGGTTTTCTTGTACCAGCGAATGAAGTGTAAACCTGACAAATCTAATATGGAGATCATGGTTATGGATGATATGTTAATTCAAGATATATTGACTTTTTCTCCTGCTTTTGTGTCACTCACGCATCTTGGAGAAAAGAGACAAAGAACGTATGCGACTCACCTTTGACAATCTGTCTGGCACAAGTATTGTAGACCTGCTCCTGTGTGGTGTTCGTGGGAAACACCTGGTCAAACACATACGACTTCCCCTGTGGAGGCCAACACAAACACAGTGAAGACAGTTAAGAGAGTGCTTTAGATTATTGTCAACACCACACTGTCCCCTGTGACTTGCTGTAAAATCCACCCAG